ATCCCCGGTGGGAACGACGCGAGGTCAGCACGACTTCGTTCCTCTCCCCAAGCCACGGCCGGGACACCTGCCCGCACCTTCTTCACCAGCCGGTCCCTGCTCCGCGGCCAAGAGGCCACAGCCGGCTGCTTCTTTCCTCGGGTCACCAAGCTCTCAGCTCCCGGGAGGCTGCCTCCGGCCACCAAGGCAGCCAAGACGTCGCCCCTCCGTTTCACAACTAACTGTTACGTACGGCTCCGGCGTCGAGCGTGTGCGTGACGCGGCGGCGCGCGGCGGAGCTCCCGTCGGCACTCCCGCCGGCACCCCGCCGCGAGCGAGCTTTCTCCAGACGTTCTCCCGGGGGGTCGGCGCCGCAGCCCTGTGGCCCTTGGGGGCGGAGCATGCGCACAGCGGGCGGAGTCGGCTCTCGCGGCCGCCGTCCCTTTTCCTCAGCCGACAGCTCACGTGAGTCTGGCCTCCACGCGGCCGAGCACGCCGACTCCCGTTCTAGCCACGTGCAGCGCTGCATCCTGGCGGCGCCCTACCCGCGTGCGGCACCCCGACGTCGGCCTCGCCGCGAGTGTCTGTCGGAGAAAAGGGAAAAGGTGCCAAGGCCAGACGCGGCGCGCCCGGGGGCGTCTGACGCAGGTGTGGGGGCGATGCGCACGCGGAGGAGCGGGCGGGCGCCGGGAAGCGGAGGGACCGGGCCGGGTTAGCGTGGACCCGGGTGCACCTCGAGGAGCAGCGGAGGGGCCGGCGGTTAAGAGCGCGGGCTGCGGTGTCGGCCCTGGAGCTCCCTGACCCCGGGGAAGCCACCGAAACCCTCAGGGCCTGTTTCCTGTTCTCGAAGCCGGCAGCAGCAGTAGAGCCGATCTCAGGGGCGCTTTGAGGGAGCTGGCCTGTGGTCTTTGATGAATGGTGCGAATCAAACACTAGGCGGGAAGGAAGGGCAAGTCAGAAGGTGGCAACAGTGATCTGAAGGGCGAGGGTGTGTCTAGCGGACACGCGGAGAAATGAGCCTACAGAGGGGGCCAAATTTTTCTGAATATTGAATGTTTTGGACAGGATATAATTATAGTTAGTAGGTTTTGGGGGAGGGGAGGGGACCGATTGTGTGCTAAGCACTTCACCTGAATCCTCCTGATCCTGTGAAGTAGGTTCTCTTAACAAGGAACCTGAGGCTCAGGTTGAGCAACTTTGTAGAGGGCACGGAGCTGTCAGTAGCCAACACTGGAAGTCAGACTCCAGGGTCTGATTGTGTCATGAGAGCCATTGCAGGTTCTTCAACAAGTCCAGATACCAAAGTGTACGTGTTAAAGTGATGAAATGATCTTCATGTTTAAGAAATTTGAAAAAGTATAAGGCAAAGCCCCTGCCTTTGAAGAACTACACGTTCTTTGGGGGAGATTGGCGGTGAAAATCAGCCAGCGTTGGTTGAGCATTTGCCGCAGGTCAGGACCCAGCCATGCTCCCGCTTCGCCCCCTCTTTTAATTCTCACAACAACCCTGTGAGGTTGACCTTAAAGTTTAATGTTTTGTGAGTGAACAGCCTGAGAGTGAGAAGGCGTTGGGCGTGGGGGAGCAGAGCCGCAGGGCTCCCCTGTACTTTCACGCAGTCTGCCTCTGTGTCACAGCAGTTTTCGGTAACAGTTCAACTTGCTAGTAGAAGACAGTGCAAATCTACAGCCAAATACTGCTTATGAGCAATAACTGCTTTTTACCTTTGATAAATGCTGACAAGGGGAAGGTACTTCAGATCATTGGAGTGGCTAGGACTTAGAACAGCAGTATTTCAGGGAATTAAGAGAATAATTCCATTTACAACAGCATCTAAGAAAATAAAATACCTATGGATATATTTAACCAAGGAGACTCAAGGAGTTTAGGCAACTGTGCAGTCTGAAGAAGCAGTGCCCACAAACACCAGCTGCAAGTTCGAGGATCCCCAGAGCTACCTTCACTTCAGACCAGTTGGTCACAAATTTGGGATTTCCCACAGCCGCCATCAGGCTAAATAATTTGCTAGAAAGACTCAGAACTCACCGAAAGCTATTACACTCATGGCCACGTTTCATACATGAAAATGCTACATTGAAATAAGCCAAGGGAAGAGAGACATAGGGCAGAATCTTGGAGGAGTCCAAAAGTAAAGCTCTGGCTGTCCTCTCTCCATGAATTCCTGGATCGTATTACCTCCTTCCAGCAAATGCTCAAAGTATTGCCAAACACAGAAGCTCACTTAAGCCCTGATGTCCAGCATTTTTTGAGCCTTCACTCCTTGGCACGAATCATCACCCATGTGACTGAACTCAAATATTCAGCACCACCTGGAGGTTGAGCTGTTACCAAGTGTCCAAAGTCCTCATTGTGCAATCACCACGTTGGTCTTTCTGGCATTGCCAGCCCCCACCCTGAGTCAGTGCAATATTGTTAGCATAGACTATGAGAGGACCCACCATGAAATGCCACATTAGCCACAAATCAGGATTGGTCTCAGGGACCCACTGTGAATTACAAAGACACTCTATTGGGAAATCACAAGGGTTTAGAGGTTACCTTCGGGGAAGGGGTTGGGAGTGGGGAGCACTAAGGTCAGATTTCACTTTAGATGAGACCAAATTCCTTACTGTACAAAGGTGAAAGACTTTACAATGAAAACTACGAAACATTGCTGAAAGAAATTAAGAAGACTTAAACAAACATCCATGTTCATGGATTAGAAGACTTAATATTGTTACGATGGCAGAACTGCCCTTCATGATCTACAGATTCAATGCAATACTCATCTAAATTCCAATGACCCTTTTTGAAAAAAGTGGAAAAGCTGACCTTCAAATTCTTAGGGAATTTCATGGGACCCCAAATAATCAAAATAATATTGATAAAGAGCAAAGTTGGAGAACTCATACTTTCTTTTTTTTTTCTTTAAAGAGTTGATTTATTTTTAGAGAAAGGAGAAGGGAGGAAGAGAGGGAGAGAAACATCGATGTACGAGAGATACATCAACCTGTTGCCTCTTGCATGCCTCCAACTGGGGACCTGGCCTGCAGCACAGGCATGTGCTCTGACTGGGAGTCAAACAGGTGACCTTTTGGTTTGCAGTCCAGCTCTCAATCCACTGAGCCATATCAGCCAGGGTTCATACTTCCTTATTACAAAACTTACAAAGCTACAGTGATCAAAACAGTATGTTACTGGTATATAGACACATTGAATAGATTTGAGAATACAGAAATAAACTCATAAATCCAAGACACATTGATTTTTTTGAAAAGGGTGCCAAGACCATTCGATGGAAAAAGTTTTCAACAAATGGTGCTGGGACAACTGGATATCCATATGCAAAAAAATGAAGTTGCACTCTGACCTCACACTGTATACAAAAATTAACTCAAAATGGATTAACCAACAATCTAAATATGAGTTAAACTATAAAATTCTTAGAAGAAAACATAAGACTAAATCTTAATGACCTTGGATCTGGCAGTAAATTCTTAGATACAGTATACCAACAGAGGAGCAACAAATGAAAAGTAAATAAATTGGATTCCACTAAAATTAAAAGCTTTTGGGCATCAAAGGATATTATTGAGAAAGTGAAAAGACAACCTATAAAATGGGATAAAATATTTGCAAGTCATGTTTGGAATACATGAAGAACTCTTACAACACAACAAAAAGAGCCCAATTTAAAAAATGAGTAAAAGAGTTGAATAAATATTTCTCAAAGACAATATGTAAATGGCCAACAAGCATGTGACAAGATACTCAACATTATCAGTTACTAATGAAATGCAAATCAAAACCACAAGATGAGCCCTGGCTAGTGTGGCTCAGTGGATTTAAGGCAGGTCTGCAAACAGAAAGGTTGCTGGTTCGGTTTCCATTCAGGGCACATGCCTGGGTGTGGAGCTGGTCCTGCAGGGTTGAGGGTGTGCAGGAGGCAACTGATGGATGTCTCTCTTATACATTGATCTTTCTCCCTCCCTTCCCCTTGCTCTAAAAGTAAATAAATAAAATTTTTAAAAAACCCACAGGATGCTCCTTCACCCCCACTAAGGTGGCTATAATAATATTTTTTTAAATGAAAATAATTATTGGCAAGAAAGTGGAGAAATTTGAAACTTTGTATATTGCTGGTGAGGCTATAAAAATGGTATAACCACTATGGAAAATAGTTGGGCATTTCTCTAAAAGTTAAATATAGAATTGCAATGTTACCCAGCAATTCTACTGCTAAGTGTATACCCAAAGAATTGAAAACAGGCATTCAAACAAATACTTGTACAGGAATATTGATAGTAGTATTCACAATAGCGAAAGTTGTAAACACTCCAGTATTCATCACTGGATACACGGACAAACAAATGTGTTATATCCATACAATGGAATATTATTTAGCCATAAAAAGAATGGCACACAGATACGTGGATGAGTATATGTTGAAAATATTTTGTTAAGTGAAAGTAGCTAGACACAAAATGCCACAAATTATGTGACTTCATTTCATGAAATATCCCAAATTGGTAAATTCCATAGAGGAAGATTACTACTAGTTTCCAGGGGCTTGTGACCTAGGGTGAAGGGAGTAGACTGCTTAATAGGTGTAGGGTTTTCTTTTGGAGCAATGAAAATGATTTGGAACTTGATATAGGTAGTAGTCTATACCAACAGTATGAATGTACTAAATGTCACTGAAAAGTATACTTTAAAATTGTTAACTATATGTTATATGAATTTAGCTCAATAAATAAACCAAATAAATATGGATAAATGCATTTTCTGTGAACTTAATGAAGTTTATATGTTCATAGGATCATACCTAATTTTGTAATTATAACTTTGTATTTTCTTTTTTTTTTTTTTGCACAACACAGTGGATTTTAATGTCTCCCCTTTGTAGGGGTAGGTTACACTACCCATTTTTGGAGACACTCCAAAGGTGGTCTGGCATTTTGGCATGGAAAGGATTTGATCCAATCTCTTGCTGGCTTAGAATACAAAAGGCACATAAAGTTGGCTCAGCTGACCTGGGCTGGGGCAGAAGGTGAATAGAGAAGTGATCTGGGACTGGTGGGCAGAGCACAGGGCTGGGCTCTGTGCTTAAGTCCTTGTGGTAGTTGGTCCTGAGTGGACGGCGCAGCTGAGGACATCCTGAGGCTCAGGCTGGGTAGATAGAGGCTGCTGCAGTGGCCTTCATCTGCCCAGTCCACCAGCTCATTGCTCTGGAACCACAGCTGGATCTCCCTCTGGGCCTCTTCCATGGAGTCGCTGGCATGGATGACGTTCCTGCTAATGCGGAAGTTGAAGTCTCCTCTAATGGTGCCGGGGGCAGCCTCAGCTGAGTCAGTGTGTCCTATCATGGCCCTTGAGGTGCAGACCACATTGGGGCCTTCCCAGACCATGGCCACCATGGGGCCAGGGTTCATGTAGCTGATTAGGGCTAGGTAGAAGGGCTTCCTCTGAAGGTCGTGATAATGCTCAGCAAGGACACTCTCTGGTGCCAGAGCTGTGGTGCACTAGCAGACTGGAGACGAGGGTCCACAAACCCCACAACAGCCACAGCAGCCCTAAACACCCTAAGAGGCCAGTCATGGCTCCTGGCCAGTGGGCGCTTCCTGAGCGCTGCAGGACTGAGCAGGATTATATTGCATACTTTTCTTAGAGGTATAGTAGTCAGAATAAGCCCCCATTTCATGTTCATGCCTTAATCCTTTGAACCTGTGAATATATTATATTACATGACAAAGGGGAATTAAAGTTGCAAGTGGAATTAAATTTGCTAGTCAATTGACCTTAAAATAAGGAGATTATCTTGGATTGTCTGGGCCCAATGTAATTAAAAAGGTCCTCAGAAGTGGAAGAGGCAGAGGTCAGAGTGAAGTGTGAGAAGGATTTGACGTGCTGTTGCTGGCTTTGAAGTTGGAGGAAAGGGGACACCAGCCAAGGAGTGCAAGTGACCTTTAGAAGCTGTGAAAGTCAAGGAAACAGATTCTCACCCAGACCCTCCAGAAGGGAACACAGCCCTTTTGACACCTTGATTTTAACCTGGTGAGGCCTATGTTGTAGTAGTTTATAAGAACAGTGACAGAAATAAGAACAGTGATGGCAAACTAATACTGCCAGCATAAATATGGATACTTCAGGCCCCGTAAAAGCTGTATCCTCTCACTGACAGGGAATATTATTATTATGAAGAGTATATGCTTTGGGGTTGGAAGGCCAGGTCCTATCACCTACTGGCTATGTTACTCTGTTCAAGTCATCAAACTCTCCCAGGCCTCAGTTTCCTTACCAAGTGGTACTACCTACAAGCCCAGGGTGTTGTGAGAATCCAAAGAGAAAATGATTGGTAAGACTCAAAAAGTGCTCTGTGACTGTTTACTTACCGTGTTTTTATAAACTGTCAATAAAGGGTGCTTAAGAGTTGACAGGAACTTGGAAATTACATAGCCAGCCCACTACATTTTACAGGTGTGGAAGCTGAAACCCAGAGAGGCTGGAAAGACTTACCTAAAACCACCCAGCTAACAAATGGTTTGAAACAGCTCTCTGGGCCTCACTGTATAAACTGTAATCTCTAAGATAAAAAATAATTTCTACACCGAAATCTTTACTGCAAACCAAAGGGCATACAGTCCCCTCTAGTGTGTTTTTTTCATTTTGTCTTACAAATCCCCTTCACATTTCTGTTTTAAACATGGAGAACAATTGGATATGGTACAAGATAGGCTAACTTCAATATAGCCTTAGAGTTATTTGCAAACTCAGGAAGATTTCAAGAAAGTTTTAATTTCAGAAATTAGGAACATGGATGAGAAACACCATTAGAGAAGAGGGGGGATTTTGCAAATGCAAAATTGGAAATTTATTACTTATACTGAATACATACTTTTATCTAGAAAATAAGAAATATAAATTTCTGTTGGATTTTCACTGGCAGATTCAGGTGCCTCACCTGCATTCCCATATTTAATTATTTTGTCAACATCTCTTAGGTAAGAAATAAGAAGGTGTTCTTAACCCTATTTTACCATATGACATGATGTGGAACATTTTTTCATATGCCTATTTGCCATCTATATGTCTTCTTTTTACTTATTTATTTTTATTGCATTTATGGGGGTGATGTTGGTTAATAACATTATATACGTTTCAGAGGTACAATTCTGTGATACATTATCTATATGTTGTGTGTTTATCACCCCAAATCAAATTTCCATCCATCACCATTAATCTCCTCTTTACCCTCTCCTATCTCCCCCCACCTGTGTATCTTCCTGGGTGACATGAATGTTCAGGTCTTTGGCCCATTTTTTAATCAGATTGTTTTCTTATTGTTGAGTCTTCATATTTCTTTGTACATTTTGGATAGCAGTCCTTTGTCAAATACGTCTTTTGCAATTATTTTCTCCTAATCTATGGCTAATTCTCTTTATACTGCCTTTTGCAGAGCACAGGTTTTTTTAATTTTAAAGAATTTCAGCCTATCAGTTATTTTCTTTATGGCTCATACCACATTTTTAAAACCCATTCTTCTGGACTTTTAGATTGCTTCCAATTTGGGGTTTTTATAATTAACACAGGTATGACTATTTGTGAGACAATCTTCATGCAGATACATGCTTTTAGTTCCTTTTGGTAGATAAGTACCTAAAAGTGGAATTGTTAGGTCATAGCATAAAGGTATGATTAAGTTCATTAGAAACTACTAAGTTCTCCAGAGTGGTTGTGTTCTTTTATCAACAATATGAGAGTTCTGTATTCTTACAAACATTAATATCATTAGACTGTTTTACTTGGGCCACTCTGATAAGTAGGAAGTGTTTTAATTGTGTTTTAATTTACATTTGGTTGATGACTGATGTTTAGTATCTTTTTTAACATGTGCTTACCTGACATTTATATATATTCTTATGTGAAGTGTCTTTTACCCATTAAAATAAATAAGGTCATGATTTATAGTTCTTTATGTATTTTGCATGTAAGTTCCTTATTAGATATGTGTTAACACTTTTCCAAGTTTGTCTTGTCTATTAGTTTTTGCATTTTTAAAATTATTATGAAAAATTCCTAACATACAGCAAAGTTGAAAGAGTTTTATTTTAATTTATTGATTTTAGAGAGAGAGAGGAAAATGCTGATTTGTTCCACTTATTTTTGCATTCATTAGTTAATTCTTGCATGTGTCTTGACTGGGGATCAAACCCACAACCTTGGTGTATTAGGACAATGCTCTAACCAACTGAGCTAAATGGCCAGGATGAAAGAATTTTACTTTGAACACCTATATATTCTCCACCTAGATTCTACCATTAACATTTTACTAGCTTTGTCAGGTCTGTCTTTTCATCTGTTTATTAAAACATCTTGTTTTATTGATGAGTTTCAGAGAAACTTGCAAACATTAATACATTTCCCTGTAAATACTTTAGCATACATATCATTAACTAGAGTTCAGTATTTGTTGGTAAAATATTTTCTTTTCAGGAAAATTTGAATGAACATTTTATGTTATTATTTATAATATTAACTTATTAATATTAAGGCCAGCAACTTTATCAGAGCAAAGTTTTTATTACTATAAAAAGAACATTTTAAAATTAGAATGTTGCATAATTACTTCTACATTTTATTTTGTTTGCATGGTATTGAAATGAATGCGGAGTGATCAAAATAAGTAGTCAACAAATGGTAGCAGATTTTTAAATACGTTACATTGTAACTTAGGTCATTATTCACTTAAATTAATTCCAAAGCTTGAAAGAAATGTAGTGGGGACTTTTCTTTTTAAATGGGTACCAAATAGAATACGGTAAGAGTTCAGATTCTTTTTCATATATGTAATAGTTTGACATAGCCTACCCCAGCAAACAATAAATTCTGAAAGTGTCTGCGTATTCACTGGTTATTGTACAACTGATCAATACAATGTAGTGTGAAGAAAATTTGCTCTAAATAGATGAACCTTGTTGTACATTTTATTGAGCATTATTGTTACCTACTCACCAATAGGTTTACAACCTGGGTTTTTAAAAAGGAGTTAACACATTGCTGGTCAACCACACATTAAAAAGAAGTTCACATTGAGTGTACAGCAATGGCAGGAGAAGCTCTAATTAGAGACCTGTATTTCTGCCATGGGAGGAGTTGGAAAAATGCACTCAAATGACCCTAGGCATTTATGCTCCTACCCCCATCCTACAGCCCCACACTTAAGAAGTTGAGGAGGCTCCTGGCAGCCAGGCTCAGCCAACTTGACAGATTAGTTTTTCTAATTCCTTCCTAGGAACACTGTGCTCAGTTGCTCTCTGCTGTGGTGGCAGGAAGCCAGCTCCCTCTGCCCTGCACATAACAGAGGACACCACCTCCCAGAGGATTGTCAGACTCCTGGGAGCCAGTGCTCTGGCCACCAGGCACTTGCTTTGCTTCAGGGTACTAGGCTAGTTGGAACCCTTTGGAAAATCCAGATGGAAAAAGTCACAAAACCCATGCAAAGTGTCCTAAATAACCACACTTAGTAAGGCAGAGGGTTGCTCCTTGAAGAGACTCAGAGCCGTCAACCTAGGAGTGATTGGCACTTCATTCACTTTTGTAAGGAGAAAAGGAAAGTTTCTGGAATATTCAGAAACTGTCCCCAGTGACCTGATTTCATTGGAATGGGCCCAGTCTGTTCTGAGAAGTTGTACTGCAGTTGAGGTAATGAAAAGAATACTATTTCCTGAGTAAGGAGACTTGTAGCTTCATACATATTGGTTAAGTGACCTTGAACAAGTCACCTAATCTTAATTTCTCCTCAGTAAATGGATTGCAATGGTAAGGGCTTCATAGAATAACCTATGCAGAAGCACCTAACATGATTCTCAGTATATATTGCTAATCTGAAAACAGTCACCTAAAAAAGAAACAGACATTCCTTAACACACCAGCAGATGCTTTTGAGTAAGGAAGGGAAGAAGGAGAGGAGTTTTCAAGTGGATTATCATCCAATAAATTGGAGGTGTTCCTGTAGTTGTAGCTATTATTACTTCACCTCTTACGGTTCAGCGGGACCTGAAACATCACCTAAGATAATGCTGAGGTAAATACATGTAACTTTTGCTTTCTTATATGTAGTTATAGATTCTATACTGTCCTGGGGAGGCCAGATCATAACTTGCCTTGAACATATATAATAACGAACAGTTTTCGTTCTCAACTAGTGTTCATCCCTTGTTTCATGTTTCTATTTCCCACTTTTCCTCTGTCATGCTCAGTTCATTGGTCCTGGCGGAAAAAAGTCCACCCCAGCTTCAGAAGTGGATTCGAACCAGTTCTGGCCAATCAAAGCATTACATTAGTGGCAGACCCTTTAGACTGGCTAACCCAGTTCCCATTCCCAAGCCCCTCTTCCCAGCCTCACTCAACTGGAGAGTATAAAGGAGCAAAATACTTGGCTGCCCAGCCTCCCTTGAAGGTAGATGTAGCCTTGTGACCCAGTTATGGCCAGTGACTTGTGAGCAGAAGTCCGCTGGGTACCTTTGGGAAAGCTTTTGCTTTTCTCAGAAAGGGAGATTTGTGGTCCATGATATCCTTTTTCCTGCCTAGAACCTAGATGTGATTTATTTTTTAGAACTGCAGCGGCCATCTTGCAATAATGAAGAAAAGGCCAAAGAATTTTCCAAGATGTCAGTTCATTGACTCATCAGTAGCTACTGTGCAGAGCACAATTTTTTATGTAAGGAGCATGAACTCCATCTTGTCAAGTTCCCTGTTGATGGTAGGTGAAGGCATCTCTGATAAAATTTCTCTGCACCCCCACATTCCCAGACGACTCTCGAGGTATCCCCGCTGAGACTCCTCCCATGCTTGCCTGCAGGCCTCTGCAAGGAGGATGGAGAATGCGAGCTACTTAACCCACGGAGAGACCACGGCCTCACAGACGCTCAGAGCTCCAGTGACACACAGCCGCACTCCACACACTCACCCTCCTGCACGCCATGCGTTCTGCTCCAGACCCTCACATATAGGTCTGTGCTCACACTCAGCCCACAAAGCAGACACACGGCAGCGACAGCTATTCACTGCATGCCTGCTGCAGAGGAAGACCGCAGGGATGTTTTTCCTAATTGTTCTTCAAATTTTTCAAAACAAGAGTTATTAACCCCACTCTCCTTTCTTTTGTATGGATCAAGACCAGGTTCAGGATGATAAGTAACTGGCTTAAAGTCAAACAGTTGATGAATGTCACCACCAGCTTGTAAACCCATCTGTCAGGCCCGTGACCTCCTCACTATGCCATGCTGTCATCTGGCATACAGACTGAAGCTGGTGCCCAGCAGGCTCGTTTTTCTGTTTACTGGGTAGATTTCAAGTTATGTGTGTTTACCACAATTTAAAGAAATTGCTTTTTGCTGAGAAACTTCATGTCCCCATGATCCTCAATCCTTAGGAAAAGCATAGCAAGCCAGTGGAAGTTTAAAACTGAAATGGTCTAACTGTATTTGACATGGCACTTGTTTGGCCAACGTGTGTCACCTCTGGGCCCCATACCCATGATTTCCACTATCTTTGGTACCCTTCAACTATTACCATGTGAATTTTTCACAAGTTGTTTTATGAGGTTGTATTTATTCTCCAGTTTTGGGCTCTGTCTTACTCTACGTACATATGGTGGAGAGTTGCAAAGGACTCATGATATATACTGTTTTATGGCCAACAGGTACAAACTGCCTTCCTGCATATTTTCCCAGGTATTCTCTACATGACCTGATACTTGGAGGCTTTGTCTTCTGGAAAAGATGGCACACATCTCACACTCTTATTGGAAAAGACACTGTCAGGCAGGTACTTTGAGCATTATAGCTCCAGGGTATAAATCCCTAGATTTGTGTCTCCTCTCCAGAAAGACCTTAAGTGTCACCCTTAAACTGTTGGATCACTTTTCTGTCATCAGATTTAAAACTGAGAGTGGTTATAAAATCT